CTTCTAGGGCATAATTAGAAACAGTAGAACTGTTACAAAAGATGAGGTAATCTCCCCCAGCTTTGGATTAGTTTCACAATCGTGGTGGAGGGAATTGGAGCAAAGGGGAAGAGACTGGGGGTTATATAACTCGTGGGTAGGCTGTAGATGACTTGCCCTCGTCTGCTACTCTACCTGCCCCTGCTGCCTTCATTTTTTTAGCTTTTTTCTCATTTCTAATCGCTTTCCCCCGGGTCGCATGCGAAACTGTCTTTCGGGCGGGTATTGTGTATGAAAATTTTTACAAAATTTTGGCAAAATACGGGTCACTAGGGGTCTGCTGGTCATCAGAGCAGCATACCCCTTCCCCCCGTTGACTTTAGTCAACATGAGACTTGTGGTTGAAACAGCTCAAAATGCACCCCTCAAGGGGACCAATTTGTATTTTGTAGCATTTGGGACTAAAATATAGCAAAAAATGACAAAAAAAAGCTAGAAAATACAACAAATATCTATTTAGGTATCGTCCAACAATTACGCATTTACCTCATTTATAAATTACGGTAACCTTTTTGGATTCAGGCCCAATAAAAAATACTAATGATGCTATTATACACATGTAGAAAAATTATACACGCAATAGAGAAAAAAAAATCCCCCTGGGGATCTTCATTGCTTTCGAAAACTTTTTTACAGTTGACCATACTTCTCCACGTAAAATTGTCACACTATGGATAAGGGGCACTCCCTCAACTACCTCATTTATACCCGCAACGAAGCCAAATGTGTACGCAAAGGGCAAGCCCTTTCCCCACAACCAATTACAGTTGGTGTCCCAAAGGGAAATGTCCCCTTTGGCCCCCCTTCTCTTTCCCTATACTAAAGACCTACCAAATGCTTCGCAATTTCCAAACCCCACTTTTTGCGATGACCTACATACGTCTTTTTCTCACCCCGGGCCCAGCACGCTAGTCATACTGTAAAAACCAAATTACAAAAATATCTACCCGGATGGGACTAAAAAACTTACACTAAACATTGACAAAACCTACTTCATTCAGTTTGGTTGCAGAGCTAAGATGTACCTCTTAACATAACGATAAACGGATCAACTTTCACAAAAGGCTAAACAGAGGGAAAATTCATAGGGAATCCATCCTTGATAATGACCACAAATTTCATACACATATACAACAAATTTCTAAGAAATTTCCAAGTCTGTAGGCTACTATCGAAGATACGGTACATGTCAAGTCAGCCCTCCCTGGCCCTTTATCATCTCTTATTTACCACTATCTCACCTATGGAATTGTGCATGGGGCTTAACAACAATTATCCATCTTCAGACCACTAAATTACCCAACAAAAAGGCTGCAGTAAAGAATGAAACAAATTCTCACTACAGGCAGCACACTCCACCCAATATTCAAAACACACAACTACTCACCATACAAAACATCCATACTTATTATTGCACTTATTACATACATAGAAAACATTAACTTCTGATATTAACCCTCCCCTCAAACATCTCATGCCAACCTAAACAGAACACATGCCAATAACACAGACACAGATCACCCTCTTTGATGTTCCTCGTGTCCATCTCACTCGCTATTGCAAAAACTAATGCACATAAAATGGCCCCTAAAAAATCTGGAATTCATTACCTGTAAATATAAAAGAAACACTACCTGTTTTAAATTAAAGTCTATTCTCAAGTTCACCTTACTCAAAACCAAATAAAATATGAAACACTGAACCATATAAATTGTTTATCCTAAATGTTTCTCACAATTATATCACACAAATGTTAAACCTAACTTTGATAATTATTTTTTTTTTTCAAATACACTACCTGAATGAACAGCAATGCATGCAACCATATGACCTGTCTTTGTAATACTCATTTGTATTTTATAGTTATCTGTTACAATAATGTCTTATCACTGTTCATCATTGCTTAGTTAATCTTAAGTTAATTTTAAAGCCAGCCCGTAATGCTATGGATAGTATAAGCTGGCTTTGCATGCTGCTTTCTTACCTGTATTTTTTTGTACCTCTGTATGTATGCTAAAATTTATAAATAAATAAAATAAATAAAGAATTATCGTACAGAGACGAGACATACACCAAAATGTTACCAGATTCTTTAGCTCTCTCGGAAACATTAACTAATTTTTCAATTTCTTTTCATACTTTTCGTGTAATTCAGCGCTTGACGCGTCACGCGCGCTAACGTTCACAAACAACATAATCTATGAACCTAAAGCGTTTCACAAATGCACTTATACAACTAATAATTAATTCAAGCTAAAACAATTTAACATAGGAACAATATTAAAAATAAATATATGTTCCAAATTTTGACTAGTGGCTGTTACTTGGTGGACGAAACTGTGATAGAGATCTTCATGTATCAGGTAGTTCGACGTTCGAGTCTGTCCAGGAGGATGTTATTACAGAGCGCAGATTTCTGCGTTGTTCCTCCTCTGTAATAACATACTTCCTCTGTATACAGTATTAAGACACTTGTGTAGTTTAATATCAATATCGGACAGTGCTTCAAGGCTGGTTAAAATCTGCTGGACCTCAGGGAAGTGGTGAAGGGTGAATACCTGGTCCACGACCTGGGGTGGACTTGCTGACTCAGGGAAGTGGTGAAGGGTGAATACCTGGATCCCGACTGGGGTGGGACTTGCTGACCTCAGAGAGTGGTGAAGGGTGGAATCCACGGACTGGGGTGGGATGCTGACCTCGGGAGTGGCTGAAGGGGTGAATAACCTGGATCCACAGACCTGGGGTGGACTTGCTGACCTTCGAGAAGTGGTGAAGGGTGGATCCACGGACTGGGGGTGGGACTTGCTGACCTCGGGGAGTTGGTGAAGGGTGAATACCTGCGATCCACGACCTGGTGGTGGGACTTGCTGACCTGGGGAAGTGGTGATGGGTGAATACTGGATCACGGACCTTGGGGTGGGACTTGCGACTCAGGGAATGGTGAAGGGTGAATACCTGGAAACACGTACCTGGGGTGGGACTTGCTGACCTCAGAGGAAGTGGTGGAAGGGTGAATACCTGGATCACGGGACCTGGGGATGGACTTGCTGACCTCAGGGAAGTGGTGAAGGGCGATACCTGGAAACCACGGACCTGGGGTGGGACTTGATGACCCTCAGGGAAGTGGTTGAAGGGTGTATACCTGGAAACCACGGGACCTGGGGTGGGATTGCTGACTCAGGGAAGTGGTGAAGGGTGAATACCTGGAACCACGGACCTCGGGGGTGGGACTTGTGGACCTCAGGGAAGTCGGTGAAGGGTGAATACCCTGGATCCACGGACCTGGGGTGGGACTTGCTGACCTCAGGGAAAGTGGTGAAGGGCGAATACCTGGAAACCACGGACCTGGGGGGGGGACTTGCTGACCTCAGGGAAGTGGTGAAGGGTGAATACCTGGATCCACAGGACCTGGGGTGGGACTTGCTGACCTCAGGGAGTGTTGAAGGGTGAATACCTGGATCCACGGCCTTGGGTGGGATTGTTGACATGGACCCGGGGGGTAGGGACTAAGGTGAGGAATCACCAGACTTCAAGGGAAGACATCCGGGGGCCCCACGGATGGAAATTCCGGGGAAGCTTAGTATGCAAAAATTGGGATAGGATGTGTAGGATAGGAAATATAGGATAGGAGTAATAGGATAGGAAGTGTAGGATATGGGAAATATAGGATAGGAAGTGTAGGATAGGAAATATAGGATAGGAATTGTAGGATAGGAAGTGAAAAGGGAAAATGTCTGAGGGGACACAGATGGACAGGAGTCCATCACAGTCCCCACATGAACATGGGGAAGGACTTAGTGTAGGATGGGGAAGTGTTGGATAGGAAGTTTAGGATGGAGAAGTGAGGTGAAGGGGAATATCTGTAGGAACAAAACAGATGCACTCCTGGACACCACGAACCTGGGAAGACTTAGTGTAGGGATGGGGAAGTGTGTACGATAGGAAGTTTGTGATGGGAAGTGAGGAAGGGGCCCCCCCCAGGAGAATATCTGAGGGGACACAGATGGACTCCTGGACACACGAACCTGGGGAAGACTTAGTGTAGGATGGGAAGTGTACGATAGGAAGTTTAGGATGGGAAGTGAGGAAGGGAGAATATCTGAGGGGATACAGATGTACTCCTGGAATATGAAAACCTGGGAAGGATTTAGTGTAGGATGGGAAGTGGTGAAGGACTGCTTCCAGAAGTAAAATCTTGTGTCCCTCTCATGAACTCTTTCCACACATACCCTTGTTGGTGCGTGAGGGTGATGTGACTGGTGGTGAGGGTGATGGTCTGTGGGAGGCTGATGGTTGGGGGGAGGGTGATGGACTGGTGGTGTGGGTGATGGTCTGGTGGGGAGGTGATGGACTGGTGGCTGAGTGTGATGACTGGTAGGTGTGAGGGTGAAGGGACTATGCTTCCCGAAGTCATCTGTGTCCCCTCAGATGAGCTCCCTTCCACATATCCCTTGCTGGTGATGGGCTGGTGGTGAGGGTGCTTGGACTGTTGCTGAGGGTGATGGACTGGTGGTGAGGGTGATGGACTGGTGGTGAGGGGATGGACTAGTGGTTTAAGGTGATGGACTGGTGGTGGACGGTGATGAACTTGGGGGTGAAGGGTGATGGAGGGTGGGGAAGGTGATGTCTGTTGCTTGGGAGTGGTTGATGGGTCTGGTGGTGTGGGTGATGGAGTGGTGGTGAGTGTGATGGGACTGGTAGGGAGGGTTGAAAGACTTTGATTCCAGAAGAGTCCATCGTGTCCCTCAGTGAGCTCCTCCACACTTCCCTTGTTGGTGATGGACTGTGGTGGCAGAGTATGGAGAATTAAAAATTATTTGGTTGGTGAGGTGATGGCTGGTGGTGAGGGTGATGAACTGGTGGGAGGGTCAAGGTCTATGCTTCCAGAGTCCATGTGTGTCCCTCAGATGAACTCCCTTCCACATATCCCTTGCTGTGATGGGACTGGGGTGAGGGTGATGGACTGTTGTTGAGGGTGATGGACTGGTGTTGAGGGTGATGAACTGGTGGTGAGGGTCAAGGACTATGCTTCCAGAAGTCCATCTGTGTCCCCTCAGATGAACTCCCTTCCACACTTCCCTTGCTTGTTATGGACTGGTGGTGAGGGTGATGGAATTGGGTGGTGAGGGTGATGGACTGGTGGTGAGGGCGATGGACTGGTGGTGGTTGTGTGTGCTTGTTCCCCTAGTTCCATGTCTCCAGAAGTCCATCTGCGGGCCTTCGTTTGTTGGTGATGGTGTTGTCGTGAGGGTGATTGTCTGGTGGTGAGGGTGATGGTCTGGTGGTGAGGGTGGTGGACTGGTGGTGAGGGTGATGGACTGGTGGTGAGGGTGATGGACTGGTGGTGATGGACTGGTAGTGAGGGTGATGGACTGGTGATGGACTTGGAGTAGTGGTGAAGGTGGTGGACTGGTGGTGAGGGTGATGGACTGGTGGTGATGGTGGACTGGTAGTGAGGATGATGAACTGGTGGTGAGGGTGATGGACTGGTGGTGGTGGTGGTGGTGGTGTGTGTTTGCTTTCCCTAGATCCATGTCTCCAGAAGTCCATCTGCGGGCCCTCAGATGAACTTCCTTCCACACTTCACTTGTTTTTGATGGGCTGGTGGTGGTGGTTATGGACTGGTGGTGACTGTGATGGACTGGTGGTGAGGGTGATGAACTGGTGGTGGTGGGGTGTGTGTGTGTGTGTGTGTGTGTGTGTGTGTGTGTGTGTGTTTGCTTTCCCTAGTTCCATGTCTCCGGAAGTCCATCTGCGGGCCCTCAGATGAACTTCTTCCTCACTTCCCCAGGTTCAGCAGGTGTTGGCCCCTCCCCAGTGACCTTGCTGGATGTTAACTTGGTCTTGTCTACCTGGTCTACTGCCGAGACTGTCCAGGTAGGTGGAATTACAGGAGGGGACACACAGAAATCTGCGTCCTGTAATTACACCCACCAAGACAGCCTGGAACAGTGGACCAGCCAGACGAGACTGAGCTGCCTCCCAACTCGGCCACCAAGCTGAGGTTACTGATGTATTTCTCGGACTTCTATTTATGTTTCATATCGTGTTTGTTAATTTCTTTTGTTTTTTACTTAATTAGCTGTATATGTGTTATAATTTGTCCATATGTCTACAAATAAGCACATTTATGTAACTTTGCATGAACACACACACACACACACACACACACACACACACACATACACACACACACACATACACACACGCACATTCCCATACGCATATCTGCTTTTTCTCTCACTTCTCTTAAAATTAAATTGCATTGCATAGGCAATAAAACGTGAGAAAAATGTTATTATAGAATATTTTCAAGTTATTTTTAGAGATGTGAAGTGTAAAGACTTGACAGTCGAAGAAAAATCTGTATAAGATAAAGCAAAGAAGACATTTGCAAGTTATCTTGTGAAAGGCAGAGTTGTAGGAAATAACACACACAGGCACACACACACACACACACACACATACACACACACACACATACACACACACAACACACACACACACACCACACCACACACATACACACATACACACACAACATGCACCACACACACACACACAATGCACACCACACACACACACACACACAACACATACACACATCACACACACACACAACACACAACACCACACAACATCAACAATACACACATACACACACATACATGCACACACACACACAACACATAGAACAACAACACACCACACACACAACACACATCACACACACACACACACACACAACACACACACACACAGGCAAAACAACACACACATGTGTGTGTGTTATTATAATACTATAATATACTTAATATATATATATTTATACTATATTAATTATATATATTATATATATATATATATATACACACACACACAGGCACATACACAATAAATTGAAGATACATAATACTTTATCAAACTTAAATGCATGTAACTCAAAATTCCACGTTACGTTCATTATCTTATAATCTTACTGTATGGACTCAGTGTGCACAATTTCCATTGACTATTACACTGTCTCACTCGATGTGAACTAAATTATATTGCACAGACAATGCACAGGGCAGATATGGAAATAGTTAAGTATAGATAGTAATAGAATCTGAAAAATGTGACTTAGAGTTGTAAATGTATATTGCATCGAATATTATTGGTATAGTACAGCATATGCATTTAGTATGTTTAGATGTTATTTAGTATATAGTAAAGTATATATGATATACTTAATTTAAATGGGAATTTTTAAAAAGTGACATTGACAAACTTATTTAGATTCAGCAGAATCACTTATGATTATCTTTATGGAAGTAAGAATTAACCAGAAATTTAATTAAGGAGTCTCACCCTTTGTGTTTTTATGTTTTAAAGTAAAAGACACAAGTGCAACTAATGTGACATTTTTATTGTGGCAACGTTTCGCTTCCAGGGTTTGTTAACCCTTTTTAAAAATCCGGGGCAAAAGTTGCCACTTAAAATGTACTAGTTGCCTTTTCCA